TGGCTAATGCTGGGGTATATATTGCTTTAAAGTTTAGACTTGAAGCTGTAGGAAATATGCTCAAAAACACCTTATTACTGTTTGGTCTCACCTATATGCTTTGAAACTCAAAATTGGGATAACAAACTCTTCTAATTCAATTATAATAATTCTTTGTATATTTGACCCCTTTTTCTTCTCTTCTTAAATCAGTGTAGTGATTTTATGGATGATTTTAAAGGAATCCCTAAAGAGATATCACCCTTGGAATTAAGTCTGTGTTTATTCTGTACTGTGATTTGAAATCTACCGTGTGGGAGCTACATTTCTTGAGTTCCTTTGTAGTTATTATTATTATTTTTTTTTACATGATTTAGACCCTTTTTTATAGCTATGGTCAGAGATTTTATAGTAATTTGATTGTGATATTTTATATATTTGTACTATCCCCCTTTGCAAATACGTGCTGATCAACATTTGAATATAGATTTAGTTCTGGTTAAGTTAAGAAACCTGAATAGAATTTACTCTCTATGTACTTCATTAGCCTTACATTCTATATGTGTGTTGATTTTGTCTTCCGATCTCTAAAGGTTAATAATAGTAGTAAGATAGTGACCATGTACTTTATGCATGTGTGTTAAAAGAAGTGAAATATCCTGCAACAAGAATCTGAGAAAGCACATTTGAGATTTACATTTTAAAAAGATTGAAATGTTCATGTGTTTCATTTTTTTTGAGGTCTGTAATGTGAAGTTTTGTATAATCTAAACCATTGTGGCAAGGGACCAAGTATAGTGCTACTAGTGCTGAATTAGGTAAAGTTAGGAAATTAGAAATATAAATATAAGGATTGTCTCTCTCTCACAAAGCTGCCGTACGGAGGACGTTGGCCCGAGGTGTGTTGATCCTCAGAAATGATATTCCCTTTGATTATTGCCCTTCATTTGAATTCCTAAACCTCACAGCCTGTGATACCAAATAACCTATTGTACAGATTGAAAATGTGCATTAAAATCTCCCTGTGTCTTGTAATATGTGTCATGATTTCTGTTTCTAGAGCCGTTCTTGGCTGCAGACTTATAAATGGTTATTTTTTCTTTTATTGTTAAATATGTTTGGTGTTGTTTTTTATATATATTTATGCACTTGATCATAATTTACTTTATTGTTTTCCATACAATCTTACTGTCATTTACAACACCTTCTGTTACCACATGTGCACTGTACCTATTTTTACAACTGAATTTGTATTTCTCAAAACCAAGAGATTGTTTTTACCTATCTCTGTGTGCTGTTCTCTCTTCTTGCTCTATTACCTTCACTCTTTTATTTTATAGAGATTTCTTTGTGTGCTAAGAACCATACATGTCCTCCCAGATTTAAACTAAGTCACTCTAATAATGTTCATGCTGTTTTACTTTGAATTCAGAGCGTGTTAGGAAACCAAATTCATAACATCTAAATATAGAGTTACTGTTTGACCCTAAAGGATGCAATGAGGTGCTGGCATGTATATACAGTTGTAAGAGTGTTTTTATTAATCATCCAGTAAGACAAAATTTTACACAAGGAGTAAGTGCTTGACCCATAATTATAGAATTTATGTACTGAATTGCATGTAATGTGTTAGCAGCTGTAGGATGGACCATCCCATTCAGCATTCAGAACTGATTTGAAAGTTTTCTGTGCTTTGCTTTTTTATCAAGAATGGTGTGTTTAGATTACTACTTTTATTGCTGGTGTATTGATTCCAGTATGTATCCTACAGATTACTGTCACATTCATCCTGCTCATGAAGATTTGAATATACCAGACATAGGTATTCTTGAAACCGTAGATTTTATATAGTGGGAGAATTTATTATAAAACAAATTCTCAATTTGAGTCAAATGGTATGGGGCCTAACACTTCAATTTTTATATAAGAGTTTCTTACCATTTATTTTTTGAGATTATGCTATTTTGGAAAACAAAATTGATTTCAATTTTACATATTTACTTTATACTTCACTTACACTTGTTTAATAGTTATAATATTATATTTACTTCAGGGTAGTATTATTTGTCATGGAAATTTGCTATGGTAGAATTGAGTAGAAATGGTACTCATATCTTCATAAAAAAGAGATGAGAAAATTTCCATAAAACTAATGGGAAAGAATTGAACCAAAGGAAATAATATCTTGCCTAAAAAAGATGTGAGATTTGGAATGACAGTTAGATATAAATCAAGTTCTTCATGTTAGAAAGACATTTGGACTATGCATTGAGATGTTCCAGCACTAATGCATTGTGCTTATAGATTAGGGATTAGGCTATCATTAGATGCCTGCATAGTATATCTGCCATAGAGGATAAAATTAGGTTTGAAAATAGCTGAAAAATAGTTCATTTTAGATTTAGGTAAAACTTTTGAGTAAGATTGTAATATATATTGGTCAAATCTCTTTTGCTTGTAAGGAAGACATTGAGATAAATCTGTGCATCTCTCTCCTTTATTGAATTTTGCATTCACTTTAACTATTTATTACTAAAGGTTGTTTGGGCCTATGCTAACTTTATAAATGATGAAGGAACATTACTAATATTATATTCTTCTGGAAGTTGATTCATTGGCATTAACTCTTTACTCTCACTAAATATTAATAGTATGTAAGCAAGTTAAAGTTGTAAAATGTTTTTTGAATTAGTTTAATTCACAAAATTCTTTTTTTATTACGTCATCATTGTTAGAAAAAGGATCTTTTAAAACTTTTTTTCACTTTAAGCAATACTGTTATTTATTTTTATCATTTCTATTAGGCTTATTGTAGGTTTGCTGACATATGATCATAAGGAACGATTTAATGCATCAAAATTATTACAGGGCTATTACAAGGACATTGTGGAATTTTTCTTTGATGGACGTAACGAGTGCAAGAATTTCTGGAAGAAGTGTGTGGAGCACCATGGATTCTTCCGATGTTCACAAGTTAAGAAAGTGCCGCGCCAAAAAACCAGGGTGCTTTCACGAGGATCTTCCTTTAGGTTAGTTTGTTGACGCTGGAAAAAGGAAGGAAAAAATCATGTTTTTTTTTTAGAAATTATTACTGTTGTGTGTAAGGGAGATTCTTCTTTTTTTTTTTAGTTAATGTTGGTTATGACTTTTTGATTTTTTCTTTATTTTTCCCCCCTCAACAGATACAGCGGCAGAACTCAAAAACAAGTTCAGGAGTTTGTCAGAGATAATTACGTAAAGAGAGCACCATTTCAAAGGTAATGATCTTGTCGCCAATATTTTTTCACATTTGTATATGGGAGTGTGTGCTTTGCATTGTCCTGTAAATGACCATGTATATATATGATTTTCTGATATATGTTTTTGTTCTTTTTTATGAATGCATTATTGCATTTTTCAGCTATGTTCTAAAGATATATTTTACTACATATTATTTTCTCTTTCCTGTGCTTTGCTCAAGTATTAAATATGAATATTAGTTAGAAAAGGAAACTGAAGTACAGCAAATTATTTTGTCTTTTATTTTACAGGTCTCAGTCATTTCGACACTCTCCCTCAGTACATACGAGCGTGAGCAACGTAGGTATGAGTATCTCTGCGCAACCTCTTCTTCCACTTGGAGACAATCAATGTGGTAAGTCGGTGAACTGTAGGCTTATTTAGTTAGGATATCTGTGATAATCCTCCCAAGTCTGTCACTTTTTCTTTCTACCTGTTGAATTTTTTCCCCATTCTTCTTCTTTTTCTCACCAGTATCCTCCTCTTCTTACTTCTGATACTTCTTCTCGCCTCCATTCTCTTGATTCTTTGGAACATCTTCATTTTCCTCCTTTTTCTCCTCTTCTTTCTTGGCTTCCTCTTCCTTCACTTCCTACTTTTCCTTCTTCTTCACTTTGTCCTCCTTTACCCTTCCTCTTCATTGTCTTTAAATTTTCTTCCCTCTTCCTATTCCTCTACTTCTAATTCCTTTTCTTCTACTTCCAATTCTTCTACCTGCACCCCCTCCTTCCTCTCCCCATCTCCCTTTTCCTCCCCTTTCCCCTTCTCTTCCTCTTCTATCACGTCCTCCTTTTCCTCCACTTCTTCTTTATCCTTTTCTTCCTCCTCTTCCTCTTCCTTGTATATTCAGTTCTTCCACTTCCTTTTCCTTCTCGTCCTCTTTTGCATCCTCTCTCTCCTTTTATATATACATATGACCTCAAGTACGTCGCCTTTCTGACAGTGGTAGTTGAGGAAAAGTGAAATCTGTCCATCTTGTCATTCCCGTCTAGAAAGTGACACAGACAGTTGTAAGATTCATCACCTCACTGTTTTAGCCATTGTGGTGTAATTGGATATTGTAGTGTCCATGGCGCTTCGGTGGATTTCTCACCCCTTACAATGCTAATATACAGTGGAAGAGATTGCCATGTTTACTCTTTTTCATGGTTCAGTCCTTTATAAAAGCAACTAAGCCTTTGTTTGAAAATGAAGTGGCCCAGGTGTGCCCGGCCATTGATATCATTCCATAATCTTCTACTTTGTCACTTTCTTTAAACATACTTGGGGAATACTTGGGCATATTTAAATAAATATGACATATTTAAATCAATGTGCATACATGTATTTGTGTGTGCTGGCATGTATTTTTACCTCATAATAAATATTTTGTGATTTGTAAATTAAGGTAACAGCTATTAAAACTTTTTCAGACTTATAAATGTTGCTTGAATGTTTCCAGATCTGTTCACTATCTGTTAAGCCATTGCCACTGAGTACATATGCTGTCCACTGTAGTTTTGTTTTGTGAATTTTCTTTACACGGAGATGGATCCACAAGTTCTCAATTACTAAGGAGTCAGTTAGGCCCTACAGGACTTGCCTCATTTTCTCATCCCTTGAAATTTTGGGTAAACATATATGTTGTTGATATTATTATTTACATCTTGATTATTATAATGTCATTAAGGTACTAATAGCAATAAATATAGAAAAGAAGGAGAAAAAACAGGTGACAAGTAGGACTACTAATTAACTTCTTGGTGACTAAGGTCTTGTGGAGCCATCTGTATGTAAGCAATTGATAAACTAAAATCACAGTGGACATGGCATATATGTACATACCATCCCTAGTAACAGTGGGTTAAATTATATACCTTAACCCTTTGTGGAGTCTGATTCATATTTTCATAAAGCAAGTCCCTAAGCGGAAAAGTTCTGTGATATTTTGGCTATAAAAGTATATGATAATACATTAGCATCTCCTAGTCTTATTTTTTGGAAGGGAAAAAATATACAGTAGATATCCTTTAAGGGTTAAAGTGAATTTTTGCTATGTTTACTAGATATTCTGAACTTAAATGGCTTTCCATATATCATAATTCTCTTTCACAGTTGTTCTGTATAAGCCCTAGATTTAATGTTGTCACTAAAGCGGTTCAAAATATGTATATTTTACGATCTCTCAGTCTATTCCAAAATAGATTTCTTTATATCAAGAGACTTAGGGAAGTGATTCTCCTGTTTTAACCCTTTGGATCCGGGTGCCTCCAACCCACACATGGCCCAAAATACGGGCATTAGGCTTATTTGAGTGGTGACTCTCCCAGGTGTGTGGCTCATAGGCCTGGCCCCCACGAACACTCATGAACAGTGTCAAGACTCCTTGCCTCCTTTTTGCAATGTTATCTATTTTTCTGCATAAGTGTTTTTCACTTTTTGCCCTTTTCCAAGGTTCATATTTGCTGTATCATTCATATTTTAAAAATAATTAATGTTTTGTAATACACCCTGTGATGCTAGTCATGGTGGGTAACAATAGGATCCTGAGCATGGAAATAAGTTTCCTCTCTGGAGCCAGTGCTTTTCCATTCATGGCACACAGATGGTACATTACACACTTGTTTACCAATGGAAATAATCTTTGAACCCCTTCCCAAAATGGCCATCAAGTCTAGGCTATATCCAAGAGCTTTGGTCTCTCATGACAAGTCAATATTGTCATACGACTTTCAGCCAAATTTTTCATGAAGTGATAGTCATTCCCCGGATCCAAGGGGTTAATATATTTCCTCGTCATTGAGAGATTTATCAAGATCACTAGTCTTTTTCATTGTATAAAAACTTTCAGTAATTCTTTTCACTGAATTTCTATTCAGTTCTCTAGCATAACTTCCAGTTATAAATATATTAGTAGACCTATATTTTATTATGTATTTGACTGGCCAATACTTACAAAAAAACAATCACAAAAGCTTGTTTGACAGCTAGTGAAATGTAGGAATTCAGACTTGACACTACCTCTGAAGTTGCTGTTTGTCCTTAACATTGCATTTGATAAATACATTGAAAAGCAAAATCAGCTGTTTTATTTTAAATTACTATTTCTCATTGTGTGTTAACATATAAATATCTGCTTTCTTCATTCTTATTAACATCTCTGTAGGGTGTTTTGCATGAGGAACTAGGAAGAACTATACAGCACATTGTAGGTGTTTGGTTTCATACTAACTAACTCATATTTTACAGTTGGCACACCTGTATCTTTATCGTGTGGCTCCATGACCCTGGCTTCTACAGGTGACCCACAGTCGCCGGGGTCACCCACCCAGACTGAGACTGCCGACCTCCATGACTTCGACACTCGTGACCTGGAGACTCCCAGCGTGACCCCATCAAGGCAGGACACCCTCTCACCGGAGACCTCGGTGACCTCTAGTCCACAGCGAGGTCATGACCCCGAGTACTCCCACCATCCAGGTCAGCATCGCCACTACCAAAGGGCGCCCTCAATCGACACTAACTCTACTATGTCCTCACGCCAACAACTCAACTCTAACCCTGCTCTCATGGAGGGATCGATAAAAGATTATAGCTATATAGATAACCGGCTCTATCAAGAGCAAGGTGATGATAGTGGGGATAATTTATCACATGATTCCTATGAACTTATTGAAAGGGAGGGAGGGAAGTGGGCAGGATCACAGTCTAGCCTCAGATGTCCAAGCAGGTCTGGGTCCAAATTACTGATAAGTAATGAAGATGACCTTGGGGAGGGGATAGATTGGTCTGGGGTTAAAGGGGATGATGGCAGGGGGCGGGCAAGTAGCTACACGGGCAGTCTGCCTCGTAGCCATGGTAGTAATACACCCAAAACCCACACCAATGGCTACACTGGTAGTCTTCCAAGAACACGTAGCAGCAGTCAGACTGGGAATTTGTCTCGAAGTTTAGCTGGTAGTCGAGCTAGTTCCAGAATAACTCTGGAATTACCTCTCGACTCGCGTCCATCCCAGACTGACGAGGAAGATCTTGCAAGCCCTGGAAGCCCAGAGTTCCATGAAAACAGTGTATGTGAAATTACCAGTGAGAAAGGTTACATGCTAACTACAAGGCACTTGGGAACTATCACCATCACAGATAGTGCATCTGTGTTTGGACAGATGACCCATCCCCGTCATAGTGGTTTAGAACGTCAGGAAAGCCTCCCAGAAAGTATCAGCCTGAGATCACACTCCAGCAGCCGTTCCAGAGTAGGGAGGGATTCACACGAGAGCCTTCGTGATCTAGGTGATGCCTCAACAAGCTTGAGCACACTAACTGTTACTCCACGATTATCTGCTAGCTTACGGGCAGCAAAAGAGATGGGACACTATGTAGACTATGGATCATCACAAGAAAGCTTGCACAAGATGAGTTCTTGTGAAAGTGATGGTGGATCATCTCTTTCCTCCCACACTCGGTCATCAACAACTCCAAGACCAATGGACCTCCAGCACGGTAAGTTCCTTCAGCACAGGCGAAGTACTTCAACCAGCCCTCCAAGTATCACTTCCTACTCTTCTCAACAGAGACCAAGATCCATGGATTTTTCCACCCTTCATAAAAAGTCAGTGTACCACATGTATGGAGCTGGACGGGGAAGTGATTCTGGAGGAAATACAGACAGTGATATTTGCTCACCTTTAGAAATCCCTCACACAATATCACATCCTCCAGAGCAAGTGAGGGAGGAAGAGGAAGAAGATGATGACTTGACCCCTTCTCAAGAACAGGTACAGTTTTTACCACCACCCCCAGATATGGACCTCATAACTCGTGTGAGAGGAAGCAGCGATGAGGAAGAAGATGAGCAAGAAGAGCTACAAGAATTAGAATTAGAGTCAGAACATGAAGATCAGATTATTGTCGTCATTGAAGAAAAACCTGGAGGTGAACCTTGTATCTTTGATTTTGAAATTTTACCTCCTCCACCTGAAGTAAAGGAAGAATCTCCCTCCAGCGGAGAAATGGACCTAACTGACACTTCACGAGAAAGGAAGATTGATGAAAGTGATGCTTCAGAAAGAACTGTCATTGAAAGATTCCGTTTGCCTGATGAAAGATTAAGTAAGTTGGGGTCTAAAGACAGCCAGATGAGCATAGAAGAAATTGATGAATCAATTCTTGATAGGAGATCTTCTGTTACTGGGGAACGAAGAATGTCTGCACACGACATTGGACGAAAGTCCCCATATCCAACAGGAGAACGTAGACCTTCAATTCAGGATTATGGAAATATTTCTCCTCTACCAGACAGAGAACGCAGGTCATCATTACATGACTCTGAACGACGTTCTCCATTTTTAGATAGAGAGAGAAGGTCATCTGTTCATGATATGGGCCGAAGATCCCCATATGATGCGGAACGGGAAATAAGAGAGAGGAAGTCATCTTCATCTTCAGAAAGACGAAGCTCAGTGTGTTCAGACCGTCGAAGTTCAGTGTCCTCAGATAGAAGAGGTTCTGTTTCGTCAGAGAGAAGACCATCTCTATCTGATATTGGAAGAAGAACATCAATATCCATTGAACCTGGTCAGAGATCACCATTTTTTGATACTCCAGTGTTCGAATTTGAACCTGAGCGAGAGTCCGAATCCCTAGAGCCAGATACATCTTCATCAACACTTCCATCAGTATCTGAGAAGAGTCCAACTATATCAGATCCTGAACGAAAGCCAAGCTTTTATGATGGTATAATCATTGATGATTCCCTGATTAATATGGATGAACTGACAGAAGCACTTATCCCACCTGATGAAGTGCCAGAGCCTTTTACATCAATATCTGGTGCTCGTGTGGTAGAAATTGTTGAGGGCCATGCTGAACGTCCAGCAGTTGCTGAAATTGTAATGGAAGAAGATGATGACTTGACCCCTTCTCAAGAACAGGTACAGTTTTTACCACCACCCCCAGATATGGACCTCATAACTCGCGTGAGAGGAAGCAGCGATGAGGAAGAAGATGAGCAAGAAGAGCTACAAGAATTAGAGTTAGAGTCAGAACATGAAGATCAGATTATTGTCGTCATTGAAGAAAAACCTGGAGGTGAACCTTGTATCTTTGATTTTGAAATTTTACCTCCTCCACCTGAAGTAAAGGAAGAATCTCCCTCCAGCGGAGAAATGGACCTAACTGACACTTCACGAGAAAGGAAGATTGATGAAAGTGATGCTTCAGAAAGAACTGTCATTGAAAGATTCCGTTTGCCTGATGAAAGATTAAGTAAGTTGGGGTCTAAAGACAGCCAGATGAGCATAGAAGAAATTGATGAATCAATTCTTGATAGGAGATCTTCTGTTACTGGGGAACGAAGAATGTCTGCACACGATATTGGACGAAAGTCCCCATATCCAACAGGAGAACGTAGACCTTCAATTCAGGATTATGGAAATATTTCTCCTCTACCAGACAGAGAACGCAGGTCATCATTACATGACTCTGAACGTCGTTCTCCATTTTTAGATAGAGAGAGAAGGTCATCTGTTCATGATATGGGCCGAAGATCCCCATATGATGCGGAACGGGAAATAAGAGAGAGGAAGTCATCTTCATCTTCAGAAAGACGAAGCTCAGTGTGTTCAGACCGTCGAAGTTCAGTGTCCTCAGATAGAAGAGGTTCTGTTTCATCAGAGAGAAGACCATCTCTATCTGATATTGGAAGAAGAACATCAATATCCATTGAACCTGGTCAGAGATCACCATTTTTTGATACTCCAGTGTTCGAATTTGAACCTGAGCGAGAGTCCGAATCCCTAGAGCCAGACACATCTTCATCAACACTTCCATCAGTATCTGAGAAGAGTCCAACTATATCAGATCCTGAACGAAAGCCAAGCTTTTATGATGGTATAATCATTGATGATTCCCTGATTAATATGGATGAACTGACAGAAGCACTTATCCCACCTGATGAAGTGCCAGAGCCTTTTACATCAATATCTGGTGCTCGTGTGGTAGAAATTGTTGAGGGCCATGCTGAACGTCCAGCAGTTGCTGAAATTGTAATGGAAGAAGATGAGGATAAAGAGGATGAAGATGAGGACGACGACGATGAAGATGATGACGACGACGACGATGATGATGATGATGATGATGATGAGGATGATGATGAAGATGTATTTACAGTAGAGAAAGTAATGCACAAGGAAGAAAGTATCCAATCAGAAGGAACAGAAGGTGAAGTTGAAGTAGAAAAGCATGTTGAAAGAGAAAAGGGCAAGCTTGTGGACAGACCGAGTATAGATGAGGCTATGGGAGCAGTTGGAGGATCAGAAGAAGATCTAGATGAGAACTACTATGATGATGATGATGAAGATGATGATCATGCTCAGATGAGCGACCAGTCTCCTCAGTCCCCTGATCTTGTTTCAGAACCTGACGAATACCATGATGATTACCAGGAACCAGAATATTATCAGCCATTTGCAAGGCAGATAGACATGGGATATGCTTTCCCTTCACGAACATTATCTCGCATAAGTGAACGGAGTACAACTTCAGAGCAGGAGCATGAGCAAGACCACATTGGTGTACCAGAGCCAGAGCCTGAACCAGAGCATACAGATAGCAAAATTTCAACTCCCACAGAAGAAAAGCAGCCTTCTATTCCCTCAGAAGAGCAACAAGGGGAATTGCCATCTGACTATTCAAATTCAACCAGTGATGACAATCAGAGTGACAGAAGAGTGAGTTTGAATGCAGAAGAGCAAGAACCAGTTCAAGAATATGCAGCAAAATTTTTTCTCAGAGATTTACCAGAATTTGTTCCAGGGGATGAGAGTGATGAGTTCCCTTCACCTCCCAGTTCTGCCTTTCTAGAGAATCCTCATACAGAACTAAGTCACATAGAAACTTATTATATGGAAATCAATCAACGAGTAAACTTAAGTAGTGAAGGAATATATGATAACATTCCAGTGAAATTTGAGGGTATCCATGAAGTATCAGAATCAGAATCAGCCTCTGAGGAAAACCACACATTACAGGAACCTGAGGACAATCTGGAATTGTTGGAGGATGTACAGTCAGTAGAAGAACTGGAGATGGAGCCTGGGACCTCAGGAGTAAAAGATAAGCCAGCTGCTACGAAACCTAAAACCCCCACACGCTTAAGGAGAGAGCTGTCAACGCCCTCTCCTCCTCCTCCACCTCCTCCCCCCAGACCCTTCATGAGACCTCCCTCCTTGTCTAGAAGTCCAAGCCCTCCTCTAACTCCCCCAACACCTATTGTTAGAGATATTCCTATGGGCAAGCCAGAGGGAGGCCAGGCCACCGATGCGAGACACCGTGTAGCTATAGAATTTGAGGTGCGGGGGGGACATCTCCATGAGAGTAGGGAAAACCTTTCTACACTGGGTCTAGCTGCTCAAAGTGATACTGGAGAATGGAATAGTTTTTAGTATGATATTTTCCTTTCTTTTTATAGATCATAAATTTGT